ATTTTACTATGACCACAAAATTGAGTCAGGCAGCCGTACACAGGAAAATTCGAGTAAATAAAAACAATGAAAAACACTTGGAAAATGTTTGAAATATTAGCCAGAAAACATCAGAAAACAGAACTTTCGCCTATCGTTTATAATTATTATTGTTAGTAGTAGTTTTTCCTGATAATTACCTCGATTATTCATTGCATTAAGGCATATTGCATATGAAAATAACATATTTTCCCTTTTTATCTATGGAACAAAGAAAACAAATCAAAAATGCCATTTGAAATGCCATTCAAAATGGGAGACAGCGACAGCCGTACATAAAATATACAACAATTACACAATGCTTTATGGTACGAAAACATGGGGCCATATAAAAAAAAAACGTCCATTTCATCAATGTCAGAGAGGCAGAGAGATATTCCCTGTAGATAGAGGCGGCCCCTGCCTCCACTCTCTACCAATCTCTGCCTCCGCTACCTTCCACTCTCCACCGATCTCCTACCCCTTTTTCACCCTCCTACCATAGCACACTGACATGTGTCATGGGTCCATGGACATGGGGCATCAAAAAATCAGCATATGAAATAGTATTTTTTGTGTTTGTCCGAACCTCAAACACGTGCGGCACAAGCCACAAGCAACAGGCAACACACACATACATATGTATACTCGGAGTGCTTTAATCGAACATAATTATGGCCATTAAGTTAACTTTTTTTGGTTTGACGTATTTCTTTCTTAGCCAACATTCGAAGGTCAGTCCATTGGGGAGTAGACGAGTTGGGGCATGGCAATGGGCAGGCCTTGTTCATGACTCTCACTCGTGGGGCGAGCATTTGCATCGATTAAATTAAATGTAGATAAAATAGAAATAGAAATAGAAACACACTCCGCGTACAATTGCTTGCCTCGCTCGATTCATGGCCTGACCTCAGAAAAAAAAAAAAAACAAGTTTTCCTCGTGTGTAACGTTTCTAGAGTTTCCATTTCCATTTAAACTTGGAAATATTATACGCCTTAACCGGCTGATTGGTTCCGAATTGAAACTACAACTTGGGGCTCTGTGTGGGGAAACTGTGTTTATGGGAATAACGCCTCCGATAAAGCACCTAAATAGATCCGACACGACTCCTCGTTATGGTTGAGGGAGCCCCGCTTTTTGGCGGCATTGAACTTCAACCTCTTAAAATATTCAAATTGTAGATAAAAAAAAAAATAAACCTAAAGGTTTTGCCGCTCTAAGCAATTGATAGGGCATGAAATGGGGGCCCCGTCAAAAGATAAATCATCTATGAAATGCATTTAGGGTTGGGCATTAACGAGAAGATTTCCCTCAAACAGAAAAGGGGCATTCACCAAAGAAAATGCCCTTGGTAGTTGCTTCCCCAAGGGAAAATGATTGTAGGAGTTGTGTGCCCCAAGAAAAATTAATTTAGAAAATGTTTCCCCATAGGAAACACAAAAAATAAACGAAGGCTCAAGAAATAAAAGAAAACAAGTAGGGAAAACAGGTAGAAAACAGGGACACAGGCAATCAAGTGGAGGAGTGCCATTAAAGAGTAGACACTTTTTATTCTTTCTTTTCAAGGAATTACTACAGATTGTTCTTCTCTCTTCTCCGCCAGGATTTATTCAGGTAGTTCTTCCCCGTGTCAGGGTGTGATCCCTGCTCTTCAACCTCATAAACCTCGTACAAATGTGAACTGTTTCAAAAGGGTTTGCATGCCATTAAATTGCGTGTTTCGTAGACTTAAAGGTCATTAAATTGATACATATTTCATGTCCAAAAGGAATGCGGAATAATAAGGAATTATATGGTCAACGCCTCAATAAACAATACACAAAAAAACTACAGCTTAAAGTAAGAGGGAGAAAGGAATCCTATAGCATAAATAAAAAGGAACAGAAAACGAGGAGTGTAGGATTCACCGTAAACAAAATCCAGCGGAATCCTAAGCCGTAAATATAATGGAGACAGAGCCGAGCCTCAAAAAATAATCAACGTAATTCCTTAAGGCCTAGCCGCTGGTCAGGGGAAAAGATCAAATGGCAACGAACCCAAATTCCAAAATGATACCAGACGACATTTGAGCATCAATACGCTAATCATATTTCTTGATTGAAAATCTAGAGCAAAACCATATCAATATCAGAGTGGATCTTGTTTCAGTCTCGAAACGAAACAGACATAGAAATTGTGGCGATAGTGTGGCATAATCTTTCAGTTTTCAATCAAAAATAACACAAATAATTCTGGAAAATATGTCGCATTTTTTTGGGAGGGGAATCATTCCGCGCTGTCGTCTGCTGTTGATGTATGACTCCACTCACTGTCCACTGTGGCACTGGCATTTTGTGGCATCATGAGGGAACCTTATCGAATGTGGCCTGCCTCTTGCCTGCCCCACAGAGATCATTTGTCAATGTGTCAACTGTTGCTATTGTTTCTGGTGTTTCCCCTCCTGTGCCTCTGCCTGTGGCATCTTCCACATCGCATGTCTCATCGCATATTTGAAATCTGAGCAATGGAAATTGAGTAATACCCTCCTCCCGACTGAGGGGTACGGGGTACGGGGTAGCGGTAGATTGGTTAGCCGAGATTAGTGGCCGAGTGATGCGGCATTTTATAATGGAAAGAATAAGAATGATGGGGCATGTTAAGGGGATTGGCTTTATGCCTTTGAAAATGAGTGGCACGGGGAGAGGCAGTGCCCGGCCAGTGCAGGTTTATGCGATGGAAATATACATACATATGTACATATGTACATACTGTGGAATGTATCTTTTGAGAAGGCCGGTAGCTAAGAGGGCATGCAGATCAAGATTGGTGTTCGAATGGATGGAAAAGTCAAAGACTACGAACGATTTTTGAAGCTTTAATTAAGGATTGCAGCTTTGAAATCTGCCGAAGACTTAAGTTAAAGCAAATCTAAGAAGGTTTAAGCTTCAAGATGATTAATAGAAACAGATTTCCGTACATTCTGCAAGCTTAAATTTATTTTTAGGATATTTTCCCAGCATTAATAACCCTTTTGGGAAGGTATTTCTTTTCCAAAGGTGATCACTTCTTTAAACATTATAATCATTAAATTAAATTAATCTTACAGCTGTATTTCTACATATTTCAACCATTAATTTGTTTATTTAAGCCAAAACATGTCTCCAAAGTGAACAAAAAATTGCCATTGAATGAATAACAATAATAATTGAGTAATGTCTCATTAATATAATGAAATTAAACCATTTTTGGTTAACGAATTGCTGTGCACTTGACACCTGAAGAGTGTCGTCACTTGTCGCAGCGACGAAAACCCACAAAGAGCAGAGGGAAACCTTTCACAATTGGTTATACAATTTACCATTTGATAGTAAATGGCTTTACCGAAAAGGAGACTTAACATTGAACCATGGATAATTTCACACGATCCGCAGAAAAGAGACAGCAAAAAGCCACATACAGAAAGAGAGGAAAAGACAGCAAAAGCGCTGAAGATAGAGCGCCATAGACATAGTCCAAAGAGAGAGAGGAGGAAAGGTGGGAGAGGAGATGGGACACCCACCTTTTTTTTTTGTCCAAAAACTAATTGCAGGTGGGCCTCTGGAGACGAGTGTTGGCGTTGGCCAATTTCATACAATTTTCTGCTCTCATTGTGGTTTTGATTTATGTTCAAGTATTATTTTGACAACAGGCCCATAAAGAGACTTTCAAATATCATCATTCGAGAGACGTTTTTGTGCAAATCATTTAACGAAAATGCGAAAATTGGGTTAATAGTAATACTCTTTGAACAGCAGTTGAAAAACGGAACCCTTGGTACTAACCCAAAGAATATTTGTGGCAGGGAAATACTCAAAGAGATAGAGAGAGAGGGAGTGAGAGAAGCGGAAAGCGATCTGCGAAGCCTTGAAAATGCATTTGGGGTTTGCGGTTTTTAGGCCCGAGAGACTGTATGAAAGTCATCCATTGGCTGAATGGTTGAGTAGATCCGCAGAGAGATGCTATAGCTGCTATAGAATGCTGATTAGAATACAGAGAAGTGTAGAAGATACGCTCAGGTAGGTAAATGGGCAAGTGGATCAAATTCTGGGAGGCACACATGCCCGGAAACTGCTCGATGTCAGCTAGCATCAGAAATGCAACCAAGAATCATCTCCAATCAAAGAACAGCTCTGCTAGTCTCTGCTTTCATCGAAGATTAAAAGAATCTTCAACTAAAAAATGCACTTCTTTGAGCCACAAAAAAGAGCCAAGCCCAACTACGAATTTCACTTCATTAAGCCAACTTTTGTGTAGAGAATGGAGCAGACCACCGTTAAATAGTTTCTTCTGTGCATTCTTTTCATTTTGGTATTTTTCTGTAATTTACTTTGATTAAATGCATTGATCATTAGGCGTTCGTTCGTTTCGTTCGTTCGTTTCGTTTCGTTCTATCCAAACGAAAACTAGTTTCTAGAACGGAGACCCAAAAGATAGCGGCAGCTTCCTGCAGTCAAAGCCAAAAACCACAACAAAAAAAATTTCGTTGAAGGTAAGCCACATTTTCCAAAAAAAACACACAATGAACTAGAGGAGACACCTGCTGCTGCTGGCTGGTCCAGGTCCAAGCCGTTAGCTGCCGCAAAACACAATGGACCCCAGAGTCCAAGTCTTAGTCGCTGCCACAGTCGCTGCCTCAGTCTTTGGGTTGAATGAATGGCTGAGTGGCTGTGTGGCTGTGTGGCTATGTGGTATGCAACCTGTAGATATGCCGCTTTATAATTGCATGAACCGCTTGCTGCAGCAGCCGCCTGACCCACTTTATTCACCCAAAAACCAAACTCTTTGTAATGGAGTTTACTGCACCCGCAGCCCAAAACAATCATTGGCTTTGTTTGGGGGGCTACAAATGTACGTAAATTAGTGGCAAGTATCGACCAAAAACCCGCATGAAATAACCAACTTAAACTCTGTTGAACTTTAAAGCACATTTTGTCCACAAAGTAAACTTCTCTTTTCCATCAAAACAAAAAAAAAATATACACCATCTGACTTTTCCAGTCACAGGAAATTTAAAAGGCCCCCTTTTTTTTTGTTGTTCCCCTATTTGATTTATATTTCTTGCAAAATTATGGAGGCATTGCGCAAACGGATCTCGGGCCTCTTCTTCAAGGCCGAGCCATCGAATCCTGAGGAGCCAAATCCCAAAGAAATCCTAGAGTTCGTGGAGAAGCAACAGCGAGAGGAACGCGAGAAATCCTTGGATGAAACAGGCTTCGCTATGGATCAGATCAAATCTCTGCCTAATCGTGAAACCCCCAGAGATTCCCTGGAACCATTAGCTTCCGAGGAGAATCCTTCGGAGGAGGGTTTCCATTTGGGGCGTTTCTTGTGGCCGCGTGAACCCAGGGCATCCAGCTCGGATGCCATCGACTACAATCTGGAGTTTGTGCACTTTGTGGAGAAAAATTCGCCCAAGGGCTTTCCACAGAAACTCAACGATATGCTGCCATATATGGGCGCGGGTTTCGTTGCCTGGCCATCCTATTGGATGTGGCGTGGCTTCCAGTGGCAGCACAAAAAGCAAACGGAACGGATTGGATTTTATATACAAAGGGTGAGCAAAACCAAATTGTTTAAAAGAAAGTTTCATTGGTAATAATTGGCAAGAAAATACTAGAAAAATATACTTTAAAATACTAGTAATTTTCTGCTATTTTCTGGTTTATTATTCATACGATATTTTTTTCATATTTGTTTCGTTTCCTTTGTGAAGACCTACCAACAGGCGAAACTCATTCAGGTGGCCATTCTGGCCACAGGTCTCATAATGGCCTTCACGGGTCACCATTCCGGGAACATACTAAAGGTCCACGATGTCGACTATAAGGGCAAGAACAACCAGGACGTCGCAGACTCGGGCTAGAACCACAGTAAGCCAGTTCATAGTACTCCCTTGTGACGGTTTATCAAGTATTTGTTTTGCTCACAAAATTTCGTAACCAGCTACAAATAATTATGGGGCTTTGGAGCTATTTTGGGAGTTTGAAAAACTGGACAGTGGACCACATATGGCGGCCTGTGACGCCCACCGAAGAGCCGGAGCCGCTCACCCCACCCAATTTGGGCGAGGAAATACGACAGGTGGTGAATGACAAGGACTTCGAGAATGCCTACGAAACGGCTGCACCATTTCTGATGGCTAGTCTGGGCGCCTGGCCGGGCTATTGGATATACCGAGGACTCGACTATCACACGCACAGGGCGCACATTCCCTTACCTGTCTACATAAATCAGGTAAGGCTTGAAGATTTTTGGGATTTTTTTTTAATGCATTTCTAATCGATATGGTTTTTTTTTTTGGATTTTGTAGACCTTTTATCAGGCCAAAATATTGCAATTGCTCATCATTCTGGCTGGTACCTTTACGGTGATCAACAGCCAACGTCGAAAGCGTTCGAGGATGGGTAAAAATTAACCAATTTCAGCTCCCAAAAGATGCAACAGAAGCCCCCAAAGGTCTAACTTAGCTACACCTTAAGAATGCTTCCGTTTGGGTATGCCACTTCGGTATAAGCCCCGCATCCAATCCAATAAGAAAGCTGAGAGAATATAAATAAATTGCAAGTGTATTTAATCAATCATTTCATTAAGAATCTTCTTAATCGCACACTTCAATATTGGGTTTGTGATCTGCTTTAAAATTGATTCGTTCTCTGGATTTCTGATTGATTCTGGCATCAATTCTTGATTGACAATTGCGTTTAAGTTATGTTCTTTGCCTTTGCTTGGAATGGCTGCTTTAATTGAAACCGACGAGCTCAATTCTTTCTTCATTTTTGAGTCTCCTTTCAATTCCTTGGTGATGGCTGTATCTGAGCTCAAGCCCTGGCTCGTAATTGTGTAAAAATCGCTCTTCATTTTCATATTTTCCATTGTCTTCACAAGCCCCGACTCGATTTTCATCACGCGCACTTCCTGTTTCAATGTCCTGACGATTTCCGCCAATTGTTTGGGTTGGACGCCATGGCGCATCAACTCAATGCAAATGCGAACCGTTTCGGGTGACAGGCCCGAATTCCCACAGTCGAGCATGCCACAGATCACATCGCGAATCTGACGCGCTTTTTCACTATCCTCCTTCCAGATATCAGACATTTTTCTTGTAGAAATTTCCAGAATCCAAAACTTTTAAGTCAGCTGATTTCAAAGAGGAAAACTGTAGGAAAAAGCCAGGGCCTACTTCGTGTAGAAAAATCGAAAATAGGAACAGCTAAAGGAGAAATATCAAGATCCTAAAGAGATCCGAAATCTAAAAAAAATCTTACATAATAACCATTTTGTAATCCCTCCAAAATATATATAAAATCTCCTACTTTCATCTATTTCCTCAATTCGTTTCTCCAATCATTGTTCTACTCCACTTTTGTGCCACTTTTCATTCCCCTTTTGTTGTAACCCCAACTGATACCCGAACCCTGCCACATAATCCCATTACCAGTTTTAATCTTCTCGGTAGCAGCGCAGCGCAGAGCTCCGTTTTCAAGTTCAAAGTTCACTAATGAGCCACTGCCACCTGATGCTGTTGCTCCAGTAAACCCCTCTCAGTTCTGCAAGCTCTCTATCTGTGTATCTTTGTGTCTGTGTTGATTGTGCCCCGCGGCCAGCAAGTGGAAAGATAAATTAGCTGCAAATTAAACACAATTATATACGCCACAGAGAGGCGGCACGCTCCACTCTTCTTAGAGAAGCAGAAAGATACGCTTCACACTCTCTTTAGACACGAAAGAAAGAAAGAAAGATTACACTCTTCTCATGCAGATGGAAAGATAGAAACATCTCTGCTGGCAAAACAATTAAAAGACGCTTATAAATGAAGATCTTTCATTGTTTTCCCTGTCGGGGTGCAGTCTCTCAAGCCTCAAGCATGTGGATAAGTGCGAGCAAATATTTCTTGTTCCCTACACCGCGTTGATTGTTGTGTGATCTATGGCTAGCGGTTCTCTTCTCCGTATCGTGTACATATGTATATTTCCTCACCTGTATGAGATACATTTTGCAGCAGCTGTATCTGTATCTGGTAGCTGTGTATCGCTTGTTCCGTTTCGAATGCTAATTATGCAGCAAACTCCTGTGCCAACAGCATCAGCAACTGCATCTGAATGATGCTGTTCTTTTTATCGTTTTGCTCTACTTCGAATGCAGTTCACTTTTGATTGCTCGAATTCCTATCGAGTACAAATACCCGTGCAAATACCAAAAGAAAACGTAAAGAAAATCTCTGGGTTCTTTTTGTTGCTATGAAAATCTTAAAACTTCACTTGAAAGCGAAGCAATTTCCAGCACTCGAAATTAAGTTAGTTTTTGTCGTTGGAAATAAAAAGGGGTTGGTCCCGTGTCTTATTGTACAGTCTTTATATAGTCGGGCTATATAAACGCAATTAGTCACCGGCACGTATGAAAAACGTAACAAAAGTTGGTTAAAATAAGGAAGTGAGCGCTATTCGGCTTTCCTTGGGGTTGGCTTCCAGAGGAGGGTTGGTTGGTAACACACTTTTTTTATTTTTCCTTTTTTTTTTTGACCCTCGCACTATGGGAACTCAGCTCGTATTTGTTCACTTATTTCACATGAAAAATGCCTTCACAAGGTGGCTTCTTCGCACACACAAAATCGATCAAACAAATGGGTTTCAAAGCAGACGGAGGAGAGGCACAACAATCCGTTGGAACGTAAGGCGCAATCTATGGATAATTGAGGCACATTCTATTGGTAGCGTAGCTTGGAGGCACAATACCAGATTATTGGTTATAACTTGTAGGCACACACGTATTCTTTAGAGGGACCTCTGCGCAGACGCTTTGTTTATGTTATCTTTTATTGGTTGTTATATTTATTTATACAATTATTTACAGTTCGTCGGTTTGTTAGCGGGTTGTTTCTTTTTAGTGCATTTTAGTTTTGTTTTACTTGGATTATTCTTAAAGGTTTCGCGTGGAAGCGACCATTTCGATGGTGTGGTGGGCGCGAAATGAATTTTCAAAATTTCAGTTGAGGAATCTGTTTGTGTTTAACATTTGTTTCCAGCAACATGCTAGCAACATACAGCCGACAACATGGCATGTTGCTGGAAATCCATGCACATGGCATAATTATATTAGGTAGGGAAAACTCTCAGCGGAGAGGCTATCATGGAGTAAGCATTAAGAGGCAACAAAAAATTAGAGAAAAATAACAATTTTAAATTATTTCATTCTCCAAAGTAAAGCCAGCAGAAAACTTAATATAAGCTGGTTTTTTATTAAATTAAATTTATTATTTTAACGAATTAATGTGTAAAGAAAACATAAATAAAAATGTAATTTTAATCCAAGAAATAGTCATAGCACAGCTTCCCTTTTCCCTTCCCTTCATCCTAACAGAGTTGGGGTAACAATGTTAAGTAGATTCCAGAAATGTTTAGTCGGATCTCTCTCACTCTCTTGCTTGTGGATTCGATTCGCGTGTGTGGACTCAAGCCAGCTCACACTCGAGCATGTTGCATCGCATGGAAATATTTCTGATAGCCGTGCAACATGTTTGAGCTATATGCTCGAAAGATTCTTTTTGGGCGCTTGGAATTGGCTTTGACATTCGGAATTTGGATTATTTACGTGGTAGGGGTACAGCATGGTACAAGGGGGGTGGTGGTGAAGAATTATCAGAGAGTAGTGGAGCACTGCCACTGTGGGAAGCCGGCGCCCACTTGGAATTTACTTAATTTGTTGATTATTCCGGAATACGAAATGAAAGTGGAACAGAAATTGCTCTTAATGGAAGCTAAATGAATTAAATAGGTGATGGGACCCCAAGGGAGAGGCTTATGACATAGTCTGGGGTTTCTCTGTAAGATATATTTGTGGGATTAGAATGAGTGTAACCCGGAAGATACAAGGTATATAATCCCAAGGTATCCCACTTTCTGATGTAATTATTTGATTTGAGAAAACTTAAGGTCTTAAATATAGAAAATAAAGTCGGAAAAATATTCCGCTTCGAATGCATTAGGATCAAATTAATTTCTGTTAAAAAGTAGAGCACAGAAACTTTCTTCTACAACTTCAGCCAGGTCTCGCCAAAAAGCGAATTCCCTTCCCCTTCCCCAATCCCCAAACTTTTACCTCCATTGGTGGCACAAGCAGCCGAAGCCGCAGCACCAGCCACCGCCCCAATCTCCAATCCAAGGCCCAACCTAATCCGAACTTCAAACCCCACACCTATTCGCATATCTCTCTCTCTCCGTGGCTTGTGGAACGCATTGCAACAGGTTCGCGCGGCGGCATAAAAAAAATCCGCAAAAGGTACAAAAACAAGAGGCCCCCATAATAATTAATACCGATTCGCCGATCGGCCAGACAGACCCACCGAAACCCATGCGAAATGCGCAAAAAGGAGGTGGGGAAGTGCGTAAATAAAATAAAGAAAAACAGGAAATTTCGTTGTGCGGCATAAGATTGTTGCAAGATGTAAGATGCCAGATATTTCATAACCTGTCAACGAAAGAGCGAGAGACAAACAACAAAACTGCGGATGGATCAAAGTGGTAAAAAGGAGGTGAACATTCCAACCAAATATCAGGAAAAATAAAGAAAAATATCATTTAAAAATGAGAGGAAAAGGGAGGAAAATGGCATCAAAAATTCCATCAAAATACACTTAAAAAACATGCTAATATTTTCATCTTAATAGAGGGAAAAAGGGATACTAATTTCATTGAAATGTAAGTGAAAAAATGGAATAAAATCACCCAAAACACGGGAGAAGAAGGGGCCACATTTGCGCTCAACAAAACCCACCTGAAAACCTAGTCAAAGAAAAGCCTGCATACCCAAATCACATCTTATCTCTACCTCTCTCTCTCTTTTTCTGTAAATGAAAATGAAATTGAAACTCTGGCGCTTCGATTTGGCCAATTTGTTGTGGCGCGACTGGCTTTTGGCCATGCCTGCCTGATCTTCTGGCATCTTGTGGCATAAATGTGTGGCACCCCGTGATAAATGCAACGAATCAGAAAATGAAACAACAACAAAAACAACAACCTGCAATCAAGCAAACGAAAGTGAAACAAAAGCGCCGCACAGACCAGAGACTGGGGAGAGGAACGTACAAAGAGCGAGGAAAAAAACTTGCAATTTCCATTTTAAATACGCAACAACTTTCGGCTAGAGGCAGGCCTCCACCGTATCCTACACTGAAGCAGCCTCAATGGAGAGGGGCAGGAGAGGTAGGACCAGGCCCAAGCCCAAGCCGGAGACCCAGAGACCAGAAGACAGAGCCAGAGACCCAGAGATAGAGGCAGACATAAACAACCCAAAAGACTTGGCTTACAGACTCTTCTCAACGCCACTGCCAGCAGTCGACTGCTTGTTGTCTGTGGATCGTCTGGCTCTTGATTGGAGGCTGCCCCAAAGCATAAAGAGCTGCCCCAAAAGCAGCAGAAGACAGCAGAGGGAACGAGGAGACAGTCCTGAAAGCAGCAGAGGAGGACAGCAGAGGGAAACGAAAAGAAAAGAGCCCTGAAAGCAGAAGGAGACATCCATGAAGTAGAAATCTGTGTTGTCTGTGGAGTCTGTGGCGAGCCTTTGGAGTCTCTGCTGCTGGCGCATGGGGGTATGTCATCAACATAAATTTCATTTCGCATTCATCATAATTTTCATGCATTTAATTTGTATCATAAATTGTCTGGTTTCTGGCTTTCAGAATCTAGTAAACGACTGCAAAACTGCAAACTGCAGATTGCTGATTCCAGATTGCAGATTGCAGATGAGTTTCGAAGGCCATAAAAGCCAGAGATCCAGAGATATGAAATCTTCAATTAGTTTCGAGTGGGTGGAAATCATTGTAGAAGAAGGAAAATGGGAGAAAAAAAAACTATGGATAAATATCTCTGGGTAAAGTTATCTTTGTAATATGAACTCTTGATTCAGTTTTGTATGTGAAACATTTAAAAAAAAATTAAAAATTGGTATAGAAAAAGGGAACCGAATTCTACAACTTCTCTCTATAGTTATTCCATAAATCTCTTAAATTTTACTCTTTATTTCTCCTCCTCTCCAACTCCATATATTCCCTCCCAAAGCCCTCCTAGAATTCTTTGTAGCTCAGAGCTATTTTCTCTGCCTTTTCTTCGCCAATTTTCACTT